ATCCCAAGTGTTTGGCTGGGCCAGTAGAAGTAGGCTACTGCTGATGGCTCAGAGCTTAGCACATAGACTGCCCAAGAGTTGCTCACTTCTTGGAGAAGGGAGGGACTCAATTATGACTGCCTTTTTTGGGTAGGAATATTAATTTGGGTTACTACCTGTCAAAAGTTTTATAAAAATTTGTCACAGTGTAGGTAGTTAATGTCTTTCAGTTGCCATTAACTTCAGTTTCATCATCTGAGTAAGAAGTGACTTAAATGGGAGAAGACAGACAAAGAAAGCAATTGTACAAGCTTTGTGCTCTTAGTAAGTCTCGCTAAAAATCCACGTAAACTGTCTGATGATGAATCCATAAACAACACTGTTTATTATGAAAATAACTTCCTCACAGACAAAAGAAAACCCAAACCCCAATCTTTGACTGTTATCATTCTCACAGGGGTCCTGAGAAAAGAAAAATAAAAATCTTCAATAATATTTCTGATAGAAATAAGTAAAGACAGATATATAGAAAAAGCCAAGGAAGACCGTATGTGTAACTTTGGAGAATTAGGAAAGAAATAAAGTCAACTGCTTTCCAGTGACCCCTGCCAGCTGTGACAGGAACAGCATTGTTCAACTCCAAGAGTGCTCCACCCCTCACTGCCTGGTCAACTGCCTCAAACAAGGCTGACTGGAATTCTTTAACGCACCTATGTCCCCCCTCCAATACCCACCAATACTGTTTCCCATTTCAAAACCTACAGGACTTTGATTTCTCCCCGAATTCACACCAAAGTCTGGCAGCTATGGATACAGCTGGGATCAACTTTTTGAGACAAGCTGAGCTAACTCTGCTTTGGGAGAAACCCAGTAGTACCAGAATACTTGAAATCCTCCATGGAGTTCCCAACAATTACTGACAATTTATCCGTATGTCACCTTCCACACAACACAAGAGGAAAAAGTTATAGTACAAACACTGAATTAAACCAACTAGGTTTCCGAATTCTTTTTATGGTGACTCAGGCTTATGTTTCATCCTTTGTAATATTTATATACAGAATAAAAACATACATTGGCAGTAAAACATAGCAACAGAACGTTTAACTGCACAAACATTCCACTTCAAACAGGGATTGAGATCTTAAATACACAAGTTCCAAGCACTGCTCTCAACCTTCACCTTCAGAAATGAAAGTTGCTTGCAAATACTGTACAATGGAGTCCATCAAGGTGATGTGCGTACATACATTCATAAACACCTTACTGGAACAGAAATAAGACTTCTGAGAAAAGGATTATCCTTTCCAGGGAGTCACAAGCAAAGAGGCAAATCAAAGTAGATCACCAAAACTCAGAGCTACAAAAATAGCCAAATGCATACAGCTATTTATAACTCAGAGATTTATTCACAGAACACTTTTAGCCTCTTAACCTCAGGGTAACAGAAAGTCTGATGCCAAGCACTAATGTATGTAACAGAAATACACCCTTCTGCTGCTTACTGACCATTCCAAGTGCAGCTGAAGATATTAGGATTCACTTACTAGGATTAACAGGTTATTTCAAGTGAAGCACTTCTCCCTGATAAAACAGATACCACCATCTGTTTAACATCATCAACAGGAAGATATAAGCAGACAAATTACTGATGACACACTGTACGCAGTCTCATTCCTATTAGAGAACTCATGTGTCCAAACTGTAAGACAAACTGTATTTTCTATAGGAAAGCTTTATCACAAAGAATTTCAGAACATTAATTAAAGTACTTTCAACAAGTCAGGTTTTCCAATTAATTACTTTTTCCAGCTAATTATATGAGAGATGGATAAGACACTGGCAAATTTGGAACAAAATGCAAGACCTGGCAGCACTACTTTTGAGGTGATCAATAACATATAAAAGCAGTAATTTTGGCACAGAGCTTGACACTATGGACTCAAAGATTCAGTGAATCTGATACACCTGAGTAATACCCACTCAGAGGCTATGTATGAGAAACAGAAGTAACAAACACCTGGACAGTTCTAGTACTGTAAGATAAATTTTCCCCAGCTCCTTTGTTTCCCACCGAAAAGACAACAAATAAAACACCAAGCAAATGAATGTGACAGCATACATTTTGAGTGAAGTTCCCTAACATTTTGATTCCCAAACGGAAAACCAAGGATAAGCTGTGGTCATGTTGCCACTGTTTTAGGGTGGAAAGGGGGGGGAAAAAAAAAAACAAAACAAAAAAAGGGTTAAGAAAAAGAAAACATGAACGCACGTAAAACACAAGAATACAAGAAACGAGGTCCGAGACGAACATGAAGATGCTGAAATGCAGGACCTTAAAAGGGAAGCAGAAAACACCTTGTATCACCTGACACAGGCACTGAGGCAGCTCACGGTACGTTCGAGCAGCTCAGCGGGGAGAAGGTGCTTCACAGCAGAGCCGGAGCGGGCAGGCACAGCCCCAAGCACGGGAAGGGCCCCGGACCGTACCTGCACCTCTGCCGCCCGCACCGACGCCGGCGGCGGAGGACCCGGCAGCCCGGGCACCGACGGCTCCGGGACGGCGCGGCCGCTGCCCGGCCGGACCCGATGCGGGTCCGCGGCTCTGCGGGCAGG